AAGTGAGAAGGAGAACACTTGTCAAGGTAAGTAGCTTCCCATGCCACACATTTCTCCAACTCCCATGACAAACCTCATCCTGTCAATTTTGAGGACCATCTTGGAATCATTACCTCTTATGTCTGAGAGTCCAAGAGAGAGCATCCTTTGTCTAGCGGGGGCTCATTCCTTCCATTTCTCATTCTTGTTCAGACTTAAAATGCCATGTTAAGGTATATCTAGTTGATTCTTTACTGTAACATCATATGCAATAGTTAAAGACTGGAAACAGATGACTTCCATTAAAGGAGAATAGTTTAACATATTATGGTACCGCCATACAATGATAAGCTTCAGAGCCTTTTTATCAACTTGTTTTTCTCTTTGATGGACAGTTCTATGATTTTTTTTAAAGATTTTATTTATTTATTTGACAGAGAGAGACACAGCAAGAGAGGGAACACAAGCAGAGGGAGTGGGAGAAGGAGAAGCAGGCTTCCCGACACAGGGCTTGATCCCAGGATCCTGGGATCATGACCTGAGCCAAAGGCAGATGCTTAATGATTGAGCCACCCAGGCACCTCAATTTTTTTAAAGATTTTATTTTTAAGTAATCTCTACACCCAATGTGGGACTCAAACTTACAACCTCAAGATCAAGAGTCATGTGTTCTTCTGACTGAGCCAGCCAGGTGCCCCTAATAGTTCTAAGAATTTTCACACACATACAGATTTGGGTTACCACCACTACATTCAGGATCCAGGCCAATTAGTTCCATTACCCCAAAACACCCCTTCCTTCTGTTCCTTTATAGTCACCCCACCCCTCTGCCCTGGCAACCCCTAATCTACAGATGTTTTCTTTCACCTGTGGCATTCTTTTGAAAATGTCATATGGATGGAATACTATAATATGTAGCCTTTTGAGTCAGATTCCTTCCACTCAGTGTAACATTTTTGAGGTTCACCCATATTGTTTTGTGTATCAATAGTTCATTCCTTTTTTCCCCCCATTTTTGACATTTTTATTTTCCAGAAAGAAAATTGGCTACACTCAGCTTGGATTTACAATGACTGCTTTCTTCTCCTATTTATCTGGATCTTGGGTTTGGCTAATAGTGAAATAGCATAAAGTTACCTCCCCTTTGTGGGCTGCAAAATTCTAATCTGTTGCTAGATACACACGTCACATTAGTCCACAGATCACTGTTTTAGAGAGATGGGTATAGTAACCTTCGTTTCTGGCTCTCTGGTAGAATCACCCTATATATATATATTTAAATATAGATGCCTGGGCCCTCCCTACCTGAGATTTACTAAACCATGCCCAGACATGGAGCCCAGATATGTATATTTCTTTAAAGTTCCAATGGTAATTTTGAAGACTAGTTCATTTCTTTTTATTGCTAAGTAATATTCCATTGTACAGCTGTACCACAGTTGGTTTATCCATTCATCCATTGAAGGACATTTGGGTTGTTTCCAGTTTGGAGTGATTAAAAATAGTGCTAAATGAGATATCTCTTGATGAATTAAATTGAAATGCTTTCCAAGCTGTTTTAAACAGAAAAGCATGCTGCGGGGTTGTACCCATAGTATGGCAATGGCTTTTTCTTCTCCCTTGTCTTCCTTTTTTATTAATCTCAAGCATGTTTCCATAAGTATATTTTAATCTTAAAACTTGTTAAGTAGTAGTCCAAAAAATAAATACTACTTTTTCATAGTTTTTAGATAATAATTCCATCATAGGCATGATTGGATTGTTTACCACTGCTTTGAGCTCTATGCCAGGCACTATGACTCCAATGCTAAATAATGCATTGGCTCTGTCTCCCGGAGATTTTACTCCAGTGGGCAGACAGACCTGTAGACAAATGCAATATAAAAATAGTCACTCTTCACAAAGCATCCAGTTCATGGGTAAACAATGTCTTTCTCACCACTGTACCCAAGTGCCTAGCACATACAAGGCACTCTGGAAATATGCAGAAGTGAGAAACTGGAAAGAGCTCTGTCATCACCATGATCAGAGCTGTGGTCACATCTTGGCCCTGACAGTTGGCCTTGATTTTGGCCGAGTTTTTACAATCTCTGGTCTTGGTTTCCTCATCTCTAATTCAGGAGCAATAATACCTACTTTTGAAGAGATTAGGTTTTTGTTTAAACCTGAATACTGAATTGTTTATCTTATAAAGCTAAGCACAATACACTTTTAAGAAAAACTTCACAGACTTACCTTAATTGAGGACTTTTCAATCCATTATTCATTTCCACACTAACCATTTTTTATTTACACAGTTGTTTGACTGATGTTTGAAAGTATTCAAAATGGCTAAGAGACAAGGGGTATTTAGTATCCACAAAGAGAAAAGTAAAATATTAAATCTTTCAACATTAAAAAATGTGACAGCAATGTATTTGCTTTTTTTTTTTTAAGATTTTTATTTATTTATTTGACAGAGAGATAGAGAGCACAAGTAGGCAGAGCGGCAGGCAGAGGGAGAGGGAGAAGCAGGCTCCCCACTGAGCAGGGAGCCGGACGTGGGGCTCGATCCCAGGACCTGAGCCGAAGGCAGCCGCTTAACCGACTGAGCCACCCAGGCGCCCCAGCAATGTATTTGCTTTGAAATGGGCTCACTGTTTTAAAGATTTTATTTAATTACTTGAGAGAGAGAGAGAGAGAGAGAGAGAGAGAAAGCTAGTACATGAGTGGCATGGGGGGCAGAGGGAGAGGAAGAAGCAGACTCTGCACTGAGCAGGGAGCCCGACATGGGGCTCAATCCCAGACCCTGAGATCATGACCTGAGCCGAAGACATGCTTAACCAACTGAGCCATCCAGGTGCCAAAATGAGTTCACTTTTAAACATCAGTCTTACTGGGAGCATGCTGCTGTTTATAAGCTACTCACAATCCCTAAAGGAGAAAATTTTCTGATCTTAAGAGAGGCATCTCCTACCCCACTGTCTAGGTTACAAACAAACAAACAAAAAAACTATAGCAAGGATTGTCCAAACTCCACTCTCCTGGTTTCTAAGTCAACAAAAGAGGATCAAATTTCTCTTCTAATTAGAAAAGAGGGAAAGATAAGTTGGGAGCCAAGTGGATGTGAAGACACCCATTTATTCAATGCTGTGACCACAATCACATGCCTTCCTCATTTTTCACTCACAAACTGCTCAGAGGAGGAACTTCATTTGGGTGGGGAGATAGCAGGGATACCAGAGACATTCTGGGGCCAAAACAAGTTCCCTCTGTGCGTGGCACTTAGAACAGACCTACCATCCACCCCACAGGATATAGGCACTACAGAGGGCTGTGTGAGCCCAGAACCCTAAAGGGTAGAGCTGTGGATGGAGCCATAGAAAATTGAGGAGTGGCCTTAGGCAGTGGGGTTAGAGGCTTTGTGAGCTGGCTAAGCATACCTCCAGATTATCCATCAGACTCCTGCAGCAACATGAGGGGCTGATACCAACACCACTTGGCTGGAAGCAATTCCCAGGCTCCTCAATGGACCATTGTATTAGTTTCCTATTGCTGATATAACAAACTTAATAGTTCAAAACAGTATAAATATATTCTCTTACAGTGTTGAAGGTCAGAAGTTTTAAATGTTTCCTTCTAGAGGCTCTAAGGGAGAATCTGTTTCCTTGCCTTTTCTGGTTTCTAGAAGCTGCCTTCCTTCCTTGGTACAGGGTTCCCTTCCCCATCTTCAAAGCCAACATCATATGTATCATCCATCTCCTCTCTTCTCTGATCTCCCTCCCTTTTACAAGAACGCTTGTGATTACATTAGGTACACTCAGATCATCAGAATAATCCTCCAACAAGGTTCTTAATCACCAAGTTCAAAATTTCTTTTGGATGAAAGCTAATGTAATCACAGGCTCCAGGCATAAGGACTTGAACATCTTTGAAGGGGCCATTATTCTGTCTACCATACTCACCATTCACCAAGCAGCTCTGACCTGAAATATCACACACTCACACATATATACAGAGTTCTCATCTTGCCAACCTTGCTTGAATGTAGAGGCCAGCCTACTCCTCATGCAAAGGGCCACATAAGAAATATCTTGGGTTTTATGGGCCAGAAGGTCCATGTCACAACTGCTAAACTTGCCATTATAGTGTGAAAGCAGACAGAGACAACACATAAATGAATAGGAGTGACTGTGTTCCGATACAATTTTATCTATGGATACTAAAATTTGAATTTCATATCATTTTCATGTGTCATAAAAGATGGCTCTTTCTTCTGTTTTTTTAGCCACTTAAAAATATAAAACCTATTCTTTATAGAAACAGGCAACATCTGGGTTTGGCTGTGGGCCATAGTTTGCCAATGCCTGCTCTGAGGTGGTTGATGAGTTGGGAGTGCTATCACCAAATGGTATCCATCCATTTCAACTATGATGGACTCCTTGATGCCTGACCTTGAGGAAGGTAGAGGGCTGGAGTTAGTGAGTAGAGGAAAGGCCTGAGCTGAGATAGGGGACTGGTCCTCTCTTTTATGTTAGATGTGGATGAGTGTAGCTCTGGAAAACACCAATGCCACAACTCTACCCATTGCATCAATGTGAAGGACAGCTACAGATGCCACTGTGACCATGACTGGGTAGCCAGGTCCAAGCCTCTGCATGGTCTGAAGCTCACCATCTGTTAAGGTATATAGTCCGGACACACATACATGCATGCATGCACATGTAAGTATAACATGCCTGTGTATGTATGTGCACATACACTCTTGCACATGAACATGTGTGTGCATACATGCATTCACAAAACAAAAAGCAAGCATACACATGCATTCAGCATGTGCACAAACACACACACACACATACACCAGTGGTGCTCCTGCCTCTTTTCCCTGCAGAAGTCCTCTTCTTCTCATGGACATCACCTTCTGGGGTCAGCAGCCAGGTGAGTGAAACTTCAGCAGAAGACCAGAAGCAGAAAGACCTTCACCAACCATCTTGTGTCCACCCTCTCCCCAAACTCCCTCTTCAGGCTCTCTTACTCACCCCCATGTCTCCTTTCCCGAGTCTCTCCCACTTCTTTGACAAAGTCCAGCAATTATCCCAAGACTTCACGCCAGCCTTGGCCAAGAACACCATCCAGGTAAAGTTGGAACCAAGAAAGAGGCTAGATACGGGAATCCCATAGAGACCTTTTGTAGGCGTGAAAACAAGGCCCCATGTAGTGGGCACTGCAACTGGTCCCTCACCCATGGTGGTGAGAAGACTAGGGCACTCAGCTATCTGAGCACTTTTAAAGACACCCACATGCACTAATTTATTTCCCTATTTCCCTATTGCTTATTCTGGGCTTTGGGCTTATGTCAGCCTTGGCCTTTCTGACCTGCATTGACGTCTCCGTAGCTGAGATCTAAGCAGCAGGGACCATCCTGGGAATTTAATTCAGTGCCATTGTTACCCTCCAAATACCCAGTCTCCAGGGTCTGTTCTGGGCTGAATGGTCAGGTCTTTGTGCAACCCCTTTGATCCACTGACCACTGGCTCTGTGACCACATCCCCCCAGGACCTCATGAGGGAAGTAAGTGAGCTGCTGGAGACCCCAGGGGACCTGAAGACCCTGCCTCCCTCAGAGCAGCACTGTGTGGCCACTCACCTGCTTGTTGGCCTGGAGGATGTCCTGAGAGTGCTAAGCAAGTTCCTGCCCAACGGGCCATTGACTGTTCATGCTCCTGCAGGCACAGGTAAGTCTGCATCAGACTCCTGCTCCTCCTGTTCACCTTCTCGCTCTTCCTTCCTAGAGACTGCCCCACTGGAACCAAGTGACCACACTCACATCCCAGGATTTTTTTTTTATTATGTTTTGTTAGTCACCACACAGTACATCATTAGTTTTTGATGTAGTGATCTATGATTCATTGTTTCTGTATAACACCCAGTCCTCCATGCAATACATGCCCTCTTTAATACCCATCACCAGGACTTTATTTAAAAGAACTCATTTCATAAAATAAACCGTGAAACTGTCTTTTATTTGTTTTAAGCACAAAATATTAAGATTTTTAAATGATAAGCAAAAATAAGCATATACAAATATCAATAAGTCTATCATTATGTCATTTATATAAAATAAAATGGCAACAATTGTATTCATAAAAATAAGGTATTCAAAAATAAATTCAACACTACTTGGAAATGAAGAAAATGCAATGAATCTTGAGAAGTTGAAAATTACATAATGTGATTTAATCTATTTTAAGTACAATCTTAAACAACATTGTATCAGTGTTTTTTTATTTAATTTTATTTTATTATGTTATGTTAGTCACCATACAGTACATCATTAGTTTTTGATGTAGTGTTCCATGATTCATTGTTTGCATATAACACTCAGTGCTCCATGAAGCTCATGCCCTCCTTAATACCCATCACCAGGCTAACCCATCACTCCACCCCCCTCCCCTCTAGAACCCTCAGTTTGTTTCTCAGGGTCCATAGTCTCTCATGATTCATCTCCCTCTCCGATATCCCCCCCTTCATTTTTCCCTTCCTTCTCCTAATGTCTTCCATGCTATTCCTTCTGTTCCACAAATAAGTGAATCCATATGATAATTGACTTTCTTTGCTTGAATTACTTGACTTAGCATAATCTCCCCAGTCCCATACATGTTGATGTAAAAGTTGGGTACTCATCCTTTCTGATGACTGAGTAATATTCCACCATATACATGGAATACATCTTCTTTATCCACTCATCTGTTGAAGGGTGTCTCGGCTTGTTCCATAGTTTGGCTATTGTGGACATTGCTGCTATGAACATTGGGGTGCATATGGCCCTTCTTTTCACTACATCTGTGTCTTTGAGGTAAATACCCAGGAGTGCAATTGCTGGGTCATAAGGTAGCTCTATTTTTAATTTTTTGAGGCATCTCCACACTGTTTTCCAAAGTGGCTGTACCAACTTGCATTCCCACCAGCAGTATAACAGGGTTCCCCTTTCTCTACAACCTCTCCAACATTTGTTGTTTCTTGCCTTCTCAGTTTTTTGCCATTCTAACTGGTGTAAGGTGGTATCTCAATGTGGTTTTGATCTGAATTTCCCTGATAGTAATGATGATGAACATTTTTTCGTGTGTCTGTTAGCCATTTGTATGTCTTCTTTTGAGAAGTGTCTGTTCATGTCTTCTGCCCATTTTTTGAATTGATTATTTGTTTTTTGGGTGTTGAGTTTGAGAAGTTCTTTATAGATCTTGGAAATCAGCGCTTTGTCTGTAGTGTCATTTGCAAATATCTTCTCCCATTCTGTGGGTTGCCTTTTTGTTTTGTTGACTGTTGCTTTTGCTGTGCAGAAGCTTTTTATCTTGATGAAGTCCCAAAAGTTCATTTTTGCTTTTGTTTCACTTGCTTTTGGAGATGTATCTTGAAAGAAGTTGCTGTGGCTGATGTCAAAGAGGTTACTGCCTATGTTCTCTGCTAGGATTTTGATGGATTCCTGTCTCACATTGAGGTCTTTCATCCACTTTGAGTTTATCTTTGTGAATGGTGTTAGAGAATGGTCGAGTTTCATTCTTCTGCATGTGGCTGTCCAATTTTCCCAGCACCATTTATTGAAGAGACTGTCTTTTTTCCATTGCATGTTTTTTCCTGCTTTGTCAAAGATTATTTGACCATAGAGTTGAGGGTCCATATCTGGGTTCTCTATTCTGTTCCATTGGTCTATATGTCTGTTTTTGTGCCAGTACCATGCTGTCTTGGTGATCACAGCTTTGTAATATAGCTTGAAATCGGGCAACGTGATGCCCCCAGCTTTGTTTTTCTTTTTCAACATCTCCTTGGCAATTCAGGGTCTTTTCTGATTCCATACAAATTTTAGGATTGTTTGTTCCAGCACTTTGAAAAATGTCATTGGAATTTTGATCAGGATGGCATTGAAGGTATAGATTGCTCTGGGTAGCATAGACATTTTAACAATGTTTATTCTTCTGATCCATGAGCATGGAATATTTTTCCATCTTTTTGTGTCTTCTTCAATTTCTTTCATGAGTGTTCTGTAGTTCCTAGAATACAGATCTTTACCTCTTTGGTTAGGTATATTCCGAGGTATCTTATGGTTTTTGGTGCTATTGTAAATGGAATCTTTTCTCTAATTTCTCTTTCTACAGTTGCATTGTTAGTGTATAAGAAAGCAACTGATTTCTGTGCATTGATTTTTGTATCCTGCCACATTACTGAATTGCTGGATGAGTTCTAGTAATTTGGGGGTGGAGTCTTTTGGGTTTTCCACATAGAGTATCATGTTATCTGTGAAGAGAGAGACTTTGACTTGTTCTTTGCCAATTTGAATACCTTTTATTTCTTTTTGTTGTCTGATTGCTGTTGCTAGGACTTCTAGTACTATGCTGAACAATAGTGGCAAGAGTGGGCATCCTTGACGTATTCCTGATCTTAAGGGAAAGGCTTTCAGCTTTTCCCCATTGAGGATGATATTCGCTGTGGGTTTTTCATAGATGGATTTTATGAACTTGAGGAATGTTCCCTCTATCCCTATACTCTAAAGAGTTTTATTCAGAAAAGGATGTTGTATTTTGTCAAATGCTTTTTCTGCATCAATTGAGAGGAACATATGGTTCTTCTCCCTCCTCGTATTAATGTGTTCTATCACATTGATTGATTTGCAAATGTTGAACCACCCTTGCATCCCAGGGATAAATCCCACTTGGTCGTGGTGGAGGATCCTTTCAATGTATTTGAGGATTTTGGAATCCATATTCATCAGGGATATCAGTCTGAAATTCTCCTTTTTGATGGGGTCTTTGCCCGGTTTGGGGATTAAGGTAATGCTGGCCTCATAGAATGAGTTTGGAAGTTTTCCTTCTGTTTCTATTTTTTGAAACAGCTTCAGTAGAATAGGTATCATTTCTTCTTTGAATGTTTGGTAGAATTCCCCAGGGAATCCATCAGGCCCTGGACTCTTGTTTTTTGGGAGGTTTTTGATCACTGCTTCAATCTTGTTACTGGTTATTGGCCTATTCAGGTTGTCAGTTTCTTCCTGTTTCAATCTTGACAGCTTATAGGTTTCCAGGAAGGCCTCCATTTCATCCAGATTGTTCAGTTTATTGGCATATAGTTGTTGATAATAATTTCTAATAATTGTTTCTATTTCCTTGGTGTTAGTCGTGATCTCTCCCCTTTCATTCATAATTTTATTAATTTGGGTCCTTTCTCTTTTCTTTTGGATAAGTCTGGCCAGTGGTTTATTGATCTTATTAATTCTTTCAAAGCACCAACTTCTAGTTTCGTTGATCTGATCTACTGTGTTTCTGGTTTCTAATTCATTGATCTCTGCTCTAATTTTAATTATTTCTCTTCTAATGCGTGGCTTAGGCATCGTTTGTTGCTTTTTCTCTAGTTCTTTAAGGTGTAGAGTTAGTTGGTGAATTCGGGATTTTTCCATTTTTTTGAGTGAGGCTTGGATGGCTATGTATTTCCCCCTTAGGACCGCCTTTGCAGTATCCCATAGGTTTTGGACTGATGTGTTTTCGTTCTCATTAATATCCATGAATTGTTTAAGTTCTTCTTTGATTTCCTGGTTGATTCAAACATTCTTGAGCAGAGTGGTCTTTAGCTTCCAAGTGTTTGAATTTCTGCCAAACTTTTTCTTGTGATTGAGTTCCAGTTTTAAAGCATTGTGGTCTGAGAATATGCAGGGAATAATCTCAATCTTTTGGTATCGGTTGAGACCTGATTTGTGACCCAATATGTGGTCTATTCTGGAGAAAGTTCCATGTGCGCTCGAGAAGAATGACATTTACAGGGACAATCTATAAAAACAACGTCTTTACAGGCAACATGATGACAATTAATTCATATCTTTCAATAATCACTCTCAACGTGAATGGCCTAAATGCCCCCATAAAATGGCACAGGGTTGCAGATTGGATAAAAAGACAGGACCCATCCATATGCTATCTACAAGAGACTCATTTTGAACTTAAAGATACATCCAGACCGAAAGTGAAGGGGTGGAGATCCATCTTCCATGCCAGCGGACCTCAAAGGAAAGCTGGGGTAGCAATTCTTATATCAGACAAATCAGATTTTAAACTAAAGTCTGTAATTAGAGACACAGAATGACACTATATCATTCTTAAAGGGTCTATCCAACAAGTAGATCTAACAAT